GGATGCGTGAGATGAGAGCATATTTGAATAATTTTCCTTATATTGTCTAGATGTTGGCAGTCAGAATCCCCCAAGATGAATGTATTAACAGGCATTATGCAATTACTCTGCTAACTAAAATGACTTCTTGCCAGCTTCAAAAGCCTGACAGTTTCTTCCATGTTTCTGACCCATTAGTAGTGCTCAGTCCTTAGCCCAGTTTCAATTTGTCCTATATACTGTGGAACTTTGACAAATACTTTCTGAGCAGCTCATCCAAAGCCTATGGAAGTCAAGTATTACAGTATCACCTTTCTCTCATGTGCCCTAAACCAGTTCCGTTGATGTGCAGTATACACCTGCTTCTTGATTGCCATGCTCTTATTCTCTAAGACTGCTTACACTGGCCATAAAATGGCTAAAATCTTTATGCATTCGCTATTGCAAAGAGCTTTCTTTAGGTACTTTGTCTGTATCTAACAGGATGTCTGAACTGTTTGTGAATTAACCAGTATTTGTAAGAGGCCTTGGAAAAGGGCACTGGTTTGGGGATGCATGTGCATATCCCAGTGCATGTTACAGGTCTGGGCCCTTTAAACCTAAGAGCTGTAGTCACAGGCATATGTTTAGAAGTAAGTGTATGACATACAGTAAACCAGGACTGGTCTATATTACAAAGTTAGGTCAACCTAAATCAACTTACTGTGACATTTTGGAAATCATCCACTGGATTCTGTCACTGCCTGCCTATAACCTTGTGGTGACTTAATGCTGTACATCTTTGGTTCAGATCCCTGATATCAATAACCTGCCCACAAGCACAAGGTCTCACTCTAGCTTTCACCAGCCCATTCCTTGCAGGGTAATACCAACAGTCCTTCCAGTTCCAAGTCTCCCTAAATCTACTTCCTGAGATCTTAATTACCAGATGCTTGGACTTTTCCCCTTTGGTTCATCGCCCTGACAGTGTGAAACCACCCCACTAGTTATCAGCTGCCTTTGGCACACACACTCCATATAGTAGTACCTGCTTGGAGTAAAAATAAACAAAAGGTTTATTTAACAGAAAAACACAGATTCAAAGATTAAATAGTAAGAGAGAGCAAACATATACAAGTTACATAGAAAATAAACATATAGAGGCAACCTCAGGCTTTACACTTCTATATTGGATAAAAATCTCTTTTTTCATACAAGCTACCTATTGCCTTATTACAGTGTACCCTTTATAGGGGGGATCCAACGTTTCACAGACACCTCCCACCTAGAGGCTGGCCTCAGTTTCTGGATGGATTTCACTTCAAACCCCTTCCATTTTAAAGGGCTTTGCAGTTTTTTTCTTCAGTCACTTTACTGGATCTAAGTTCTCTCAATAGCATGGTCTATGATTGAGCTAGGACACCACCTGTTTTTTCATTAGTGAGGGAAATGGAGCAAAATATGAATATGAGTGGGAGTAAATGTCACAAAGTCAACAGCGAAAACTGAACTTTTAACCCAAGCTGGACAGAGGATTTTCTTTTTAATATGCCACCTCGTTTAAATGCAAAATCTTTGTGTTTAATATGCCAAACCACTTTATCTGTCTGTGAGGTCATCAACATGAGGCATCACTTTGAATCAAAGCACAGTAACTTCAACGCAGCCTATCCTCCTGACAGTGTTGCAAGATGTGACAAAATTGAAAATCTGAAGTCTTCATATCACACTTCAAATGTCATTCTCACAACATCAGCAACTGTACAGGAAAAAGCAACAGCTGCTTCTCTTCAGATAATGTGGATACTAACTAAAAAGAAAAAGCCTTTCCTGGATGCCAAGCTTCTGAAGAAGTGCACATTGGACATGCTGGAGGAGCTTTTTTCTGGAGATAAAAACAAAGATGACATTGTGAACAGTGTAAAGCAAATTCCCCTGTCTGATTCAGTGTGAAAATTGGAGGTAATTTATGAGGATTGTCTGTCAGCACTGCTTTCCAATCTTAAAAATGCCAAGTGTCTCTTGCAGTGGACGAATCAAGTGATTTAAGTGACATTGCCAAGGTATCACTGTTTGTTAGATTTTATAATGGTGACATTTTCAAGGAAGAATTTTTGTGCTTAATACCATTAGAAACCTACACCACAGGAGTGATTGGTTTTGCAAAGGCAAAAGGCTTTTTTGAAAAAAAAGGTTTAGATCTGCAGAAAGTAGACTTGCTTGTTACAGACAGAAGTCCCTCCATCACAGGGAAAGAGAAGGGCATTGCTTCACATTTGGCAGTGATACACTCTTCATTAAATACACTTCACTGCATCATTCACTAGGACACTGTGTGGTAAGTTGTCTGGGTACTTGGAAAAAACAATGGGTATTATGATGAGATTAGTAAACAACATACGCTCAACTTCTAGCTTGCAACATTGTCTTTTTAAAGCTTTCTTTCAAGACGTTTCAGCCAAATACAGTGACATGTTGCAGCACAATGATGTTCACTGGTTAATTAGGGTGAGTATGTTAGAAGGGTTTTGTGTGCTTCAAAGAGAAATAATAGAATTTCTTTCAAACCATAAGACCAACAATATTCATGATGTCTCCTCTATGTCACAGGTAGCTTTTCTGTGCGATATTACTGGTCACTTGAATCCCCTCAACATGCAGCTCCAAGGCAGTGCAAGCAGTGTGGAGAATTTGTTTGAAAAAATGTGTGCCTTTCAGAAGAATCTTGAAATTTTTCAGACAGACTTAACAGGATAAATGTTGTACTTTCCCACATTGTGTGTTGTTGCTACAGATGAAACCTTGAGGACAACGATGCAAGAATTCCTAAACAATCTCATCAAAAATTTTAAAATGCAATTTAAGAATATTAAAATTCCAAAGGATTTTCTTTTATTTATTTGTAATCTGTTTGTTGTCTATGCTGATGGATCTTGCCCTTCTGAAGCAAAGAACATTCTTGATTCAATTTATGAAGGTGCCTTTCAATTAGAAATTGTAAGGCTCCAGAGTTCAGATGTCTTGAAGGCAAAATTCAGAGAAATGGGACTTTGTGGTTTCTGGACTCGATATGCTCCCAGTTTCAGAATAACCAGAATCTAACCATCTATCTTTTAAAAATGTTTGGATCAACGTACCTCTGCAAATCTAGGTTTTCTACCATGAGCATTATAAAAACCCAACACCCCAATCGCCTGATAGATAACCATCTTCACCAGTGCATGCGCCTTGCCGTGACCTCCTACAAACCACTCTTCACAGACCTTGCTAGAGATCATTGATGTCACCTCTACCATTAGAGATTGCCACAAACGGGTAATAATATTGATTTATAAACTTTGTTAAAAGATAGAAACACTAATATTTATGTTACAATCAAGGTCTTTGTTTATTGGCAGTTGAAGTTTTGTTTTGTTTTTGTCAGCCTTCTGTGCAAACAGCCTGCCTCTTGTTAAAATTCACAAATCGGCCTGCGGGTAGATCTAATTGAGTATCACTGAGTAGACACTTACTATAGCAACAGGAAGGGTTCTGCCATCGCTGTGGGTAATCCACCTCTCTGAGGGGCAGTAGTCTAGGTCAATAGAAGAATTCTTCCAACATCCTAGTGTTGTCTACACCGGAGTTAGGTCAGATTAACTACATCTCTCGGGTGTGGATTTTTCACACCTCTAAGAGATGTAGCTATGCCAGTGTAACTTTTCAATGTAGACCAGCCCCCATGTTCACACATCATCAGCACTCCTGCCATTGTGCTTGAGCCCTGACCTGGAAATATCACCTCAAACAGGGAATTGAGTTTCCATGGTTTATTAAGTCTTTGGCTTCTCTTCTGAGATTACTAAAAGGGATGCCAGTTAATGCCATTTGTGATGTGCCTCAGTCCAGTTTGTAGTGGATACAACAATTTAGTGGCAACAACTGCTAACCCAGGCTAGATTTAGACCAGCCACTAAGAGGTGAAAAACTCTGTATCCGCTGTGCTATCCAACTCTCTCTCCTCTTTCCTCTTGCCTCTCCTCAAATGATTTAGCTTAGTTTTAATTTCAGTTCAGAAAGAAAGAGTTATATAGTTGACTCAACAGTTCTGGATGAAACTTTTACTGTAAATGCAAAAAGAACAGGAGTACTTGTGGCACCTTAGAGACTAACAAATTTATTAGAGCATAAGCTTTCGTGGGCTACTGCCCACTTCTTCGGATGTAAATGGATTTTTTCAGGTCATAGTTCATCTGGCATTTGAAAATTGTGTTTACATGTTAATAGCAATGTGAAAGGTTGGCGTAGCAACTTCATTTGTTTCTTCCATCCTTTACATAATCTAGAAAAGGATTGCTATAATTAAGGGAAAAGAACAAGGCAGGAGGAGATGTTGGGAATGGAGTTAAAATATATGTACTACAGTAAATCTAATGTTGGTCTGGCATTAAAATTTTCTGGTTGGGCAGCACAATTGTTTAATTGGGAATCTTAATGGCAGTGGCTAAAACCTCTACTTCTGAGTCATGGGCACCTGTATTTTATTCTGTCAGGTATCAGCAATGATACTTGTCAGGATTGATAGTTCCATTTACAGCACATCTGTGTTTCTGATCATATGGTTGACACCTTCTAACTTCAGTTTATACCACAAAGTTAAAACATTAACTGGAGTGAAAGATAGGATTTTTTTCTATCGGTGTGTTAGGACCTTACTTTCTCTATGAACCAAATCCAGACAATCACAAAATATTAAGTAATATTTATCCTCGAAGAAGAAAAAGAAAAAGAAGAAGAAGAAGAAGATAGTGAATTCAGCATGCAAAGTTTTGGTGCAAAATTGGTAATATAAAGAAAAAATAATCTCAACAAAAACAAGTTTAAGATGACTTGTTAAAGCATCACTTATTCCAGAAACTAGAGTCTGTGTCCTTGTGCTCTAGAGATGTCTCAGAGAATCAAATTAATGTCTTGCATGTACTGCTAATTGATTGTGTGGAAATTTTTTTAAGTTCACTTTTTCTTTATTCTTCTGTCTTTTTACCCATCTTCCCCCATTGTAGCAAATTAGACGGCCGGATGAAAGCAAAGGAGTTGCTAGTAGAGTTGGATCCCTCAAAGTAAATATGTTTCTAACATTTATTTTGCAAGTTTTCTTCTATAGCCTTCACTTTTCCTTTTGGAGGGGATGTGAGGGAGGGAGGGGTCTTTTCCATTTCTCACCATCCCATTGTTTTAATTTCAGTATTTTTATCACTGTGGGTTCACATTTTGTTTGTTTCTGTGCTACACATAGAAGAACAAGCTGAAGGCAGGCTGCCAAGTAGTTAGCTTTGAATGTCACCCCAACTAGGAGATAACAGCCTCCGTAAGGTGTCTATAATTTGGGGTCATGATTACAGGGCTTCTCCGATTGATGTCATTCAGTGCGTGTTAAGTGCCTCTTATGTATGAAAAAGACTTACTCATTTTCAGAGTATAGTTTCCCCCTTTAAAGAGTAATTAAATTGTTGTTTTAGTGCTCTCACTGTTTGAAATTAATTCCAGAAAAGATCATTGTTATGAGAATTGATTAATTTATTTAGTATTTATATGCTTGAAAATCAGAAAGGTGTGCGAGAGAGAGAGAGAGAGATCCATTCATCTGTGCCTAATACGAATGGAGCCACCATTTAGCTAATAGTATTAGGCTATTTCTCTGCCTTCGTTGTAAATATAAAGAGCATCTAAATCAGTGCCCACTCTTGTACAATGTGTCACATTAAAATTTCTTTAATCGTACATTCTTGCTAATGCTATTGTATTTAAAAGACATATCTAAATAATCCAAATTTACCAAAATGCTGAAGGCACATAATATAGGCTACCCTGTTTAAGATTCAGCCCCAACAATAGCTTTTTAAAAATAATTTTAATATTTCACTTTTTTCCACTTTATTTCCTTTTCAGCACTTTATGAAGCACTATTTTTTTTTCCTTCTGCACTCTACTCACCTCTCCGGCCTTTTTTGGTTTTTGCTTTTTATTTTATTTTTATATGTCTGTGTGTTGCCTGTGTTCCAGGAGAAGCCATCCTCTCTGTTTTCTAACACTGCTATACAGCTGCTCATTGTGAAAATGTTATTTCACTGAGCATAAAGAGAGGGAAGGAAAGGTTTAATTATTTATCTGTTTCCGGTAATGACAACATTTAAATTGATTTCAGTATAGAAAAAGAAACCAGTTTCTATTTGTTAATGCCAGTGATACCTAAAGGCATCTGTAGCATTCCTCATTATCAATCTCTGTGAGGTTTTAGTGTTTCTTCTTTAGTTTTGGGAAGAGGTTACAGTTACAGTGCAAATGAGGGAAACACTACATTAATGATGCACTGTTGTTTCAGCTGTAGACAATGCAACGCAATATGAATTCACAGAAGGAAAAAATGAGAGCAACACTGTTTACACTGTGTTGTGGGACTTGTATGTATATAACTACCTCTGATTTCTGCTTTTGAGTAGAACCCTGCATTATAACTGTATATGCTTAATGCATATACTTATGTGTAACATAAGTGTATGTATAATTTGAGTAAAAGAAAGCCTTTTAGGGTTGGGACTCAATTTTTTTTAATGAGTGTTGCTCAAATGTCAATTTAAAAAAAAAACGGGGGCTCAATTTTCAAATGTAAACACCTAATTTACAGTTCCCAGTTCTGTATCTGATTGCTCAAATTGGAGCTTAGCTACCTAAAATGCTAATTTAGGCACAAGAGTCTAATATGAACATCTAAATATAGAATTGGACACTGTGCCTGAGATCCCCAAGTTTGAAAATTCACCCCAAAGAAGTTTTCTGTGATTAGACAATTTTCAACAGACTACCTTGCCAAAAATAAAACATGTAAACAATCTTCCTGATAGCAAATATCTTTAGAATGATGTGTCCATGTACTTGTATTTATCTTTCCCATACTGAAAAAAGAGCATTGTTAATCAAGAAAAATAGCTGGTTTCCAACTTCAGAGTTTACTGAGCATGTATATTTCTGTTGTGCAAAGAACTTTGACATCTTGAAATGTTTTGCCAAAGGCAGTGAAAAATGTGTTATGCTATGATCTTATTTTTAAAAAAAAAAGATAAAAAGAAAGAAAGAAAAAAGAAAAAAAGTGAAAAGAGAACAGGTTGCTTTTTCAATTCATTTTCTGATGTTTACATGTAGCTCCATCGAAAGCTGGAGGAGCTCAGAGATCACCTAGAAGGCAATGTCAAAGGATGCTCTCTCCGAGTAAATGTACGATTTCACTCGGTGATTTATTTATTTTTAAATTTCCGCTGGTTGGTAACACCAAATCTGATTGGTTTTGTCCTCTCATCTCCATCTTTTTCCTTTCTCTCTCTTTCTCCCTACGTGTTTCTTTCTTTTCTAGCTGGGGTTTCATTGTAATGTATGAGAGAATTCTAACGTACCTATTGGGTTTGTTTAAAAAAAACCCTAGTGCCTTTTTAATTAATTTTGACCATATTCTGGCGGGTTTTAATGGCAGAAAATGGTTAAACAACTACATAAACTCCCTTTCCAAAATCAAAATTGTATTTGTAGGTCATTCCTGAACATTGTAGTTAAATTAAATCCAGTAAGTATCCCCTGTTTGAAGGGCAGCCTATATCTAATAAAAGCTGTAGTTGAACTGAAAACTATGAGCTGGTTTGAGGTAATCCAGATGCATTGGCTCAGATATAGTTCTGTCCTTGAGATTCTTGGGCCCACATTTGATCTAAAGAAAAAAAATAGAAATTTTAATGTTGAATGCACAGCTAATCAAATTTCACAGCTTCTTTTGAGTTAGTAGAACCCTTTTAATAAACAAACATTCAGCACCTTCTGAGATTTTTATCATATTTGTGTTCTAATTAAAAAAAATTCATTCAGAATGCAAAAAATCATATGAAATAAGGATTAGTGTCCAGCATATAATTCATGACACCTCTATAAGAGTGTTCAGTGTTCATAGAGCCAAAGAAATCTACAACAAAGTATCCAGTAGAGCATTACAGATAGTACCTCATTCCTAAAAGAGAAGTCGCCTTGACATTTTCAGACCTGCTTCTTGACTTGATGATAGAATTTGAAAGGCAAATTGCACCATGCAATATTGTATGAAAATAAGGAAAGAACATGAGCATGATAGGCATAGCAAATTATGTCTTTGTTTATGCAAAAAGATCAGTTGCATGAGTCTTCTTCGCAAAACATCATATGTAGATCCTTGTCCTGGTTTGTCTCTCCCATACACTGAGGCAGCTGGCTTTACAGTTATCACCATTTCGATTCAAAATCCAATATGGTGCTATGAAAGGGAAGGGAGAGCTTCAGACTGATCATTTTACCTATTACTTTTGGTGTATCTGAACATTTCAATTTTCAGCTAAATATCAGACATAAAGATAATCCCTGCTCATTGTCAAGTCCCTGAACTCATAATCTCGTGCCAGTGAGATGGAAGAATATTGAGCTGCTGGTTGGCAGCAGCTTTCTGTAAAATCAGTTTGATGAGCACTTTGGATCTCATGTCATTTCACTGGCATACATTTCTAAGCAGCCAGTCTAATTGTGCACATGCGTATTTTTTTTTAATTTGGTAAAACATTGAACTTCTTAGGTCTTATAAGGGCAGAGGATGTGTCTTTTATTTTAGGATTCTCAATCCCAAATCCACAGTATTAGTGGGTGAACATATAGCTAGCAAAAGTGCATATTGAAAATTAATACTACCAAAAGTTGTACTTGACTATACATCTGCCCACAAAATGTCACACAAGGACAAGTGCAAAGTGAAAATATGTGTCTGCAGTAACCTTAGATATCTCAAGAATTGATTGAGTAGACAACTCAAGATTGGGAGACTGATTAATATTAAGTTACCCTCTTCTTCCATGCCATATTACCTGTCACATCATGACCTGTACCATTTGAAGGGCAATTATTTTACATGAGTAGGTAGGGCGGAGTCTGATCCCAGATATGTACTGTAGATGCCACAGATGCCCCTAAATTTCCTCTGATGACTGAGATCATTGGCAAGAAAGATATTAAATAGGCAAAATCTGCAGCCAGTTTCCCCACCTTAATTAAATATGCTGATGAGTGTCATAATAATGGATGCTTTGCATGAGGCAACTTTCTGAGGGAGAAGAGAACCGTGTCAGTGCTTAGACCAAATAGTGGCATAAACCTTCAGTAAATGCTGTGCATCTGAAAACAAAATTGTGAGGGAATAGTTTATAAATGCACTTTCAAATTAATTTTCGTATTTTCCACACTGTTTTTGGAAAGGGATTTAAATAAAAGTTGCTCACATGACTATGATGCAGCAAATGTATTGATTGGTATGGGACAGGGAATAGGTAGTAACTGTTAGCATTAATTTCTCACTAACAGGCCTTGCTATTGCACAGTTCTGTACTCTATTAAGGTGGAACCTTTGATTAATAATGATTTTCAAATACATGTCTTTCACATTGATCGATCCACTGGAAATCTGTAGTAAATTTTGCCAGATTCTGTGGAATTTTTTCCTCCAGATTCTGCTGAAATTGTTGGGAAATCTGCCAGATATTTTTAAAGCATATCAACTCAAAACATATATGCAAATACTAGCAAATTAAACACATTTGTATATTTATTGGTTAGTTTTAATTTAAAAATGACGTTTTATATAGTCAGTCATATCTTTTCTTTAAAAAATAAAAAAGTTATCCTGAACTGAGATCTTTCTTTTCCCCCTTGAGATCATCGATCAGATATCTTCCTATTTCTCTTCATCTGGAGATATTCCGGTTACCTTCAGATCTTCTCTCTTCTCTTTAAATAAAATTAAATATTTCATAGAACAGTTAGTAATTTCCAACTTTGAAATTTTCAGCCTTATTTTTATTCTTTCAGATGAATCCAGCTACACTGGATAAAAGCACATTGGCTGCTCAAATGATCGACAGTGAAATAGTTAACAACCGTGTTATTTTAAAGCTCAAAATTAATTTTCAGAATTGATAACCTGAGGTGGCTCAGACAATTCATGCAGACTCAGACAGAGCACTGCATCAATTTGTATTTAGGTTTTCTTTGTAACACAGGCTAGAATTTTATTTTAATTTGTTGAAATTCCTCAGAAAAATACTGACAACATTTAAATTCTGTAAGGAGATACTAAATCTGAAAATACATGGAAATTCTGCATACACAATTTCCTGAAACAATGTGTCCATCAGCCTCTGTGTGCAGGTTAGACAAACATGGATTTCATATCAAAGATTCCCTTTTTTAGGATCAAGGTAGGAGTTGCCTAAATGCAGCATGGAGGCCAAATATCGCCATGGATGCTCTATAATGAAGCCTGGACTGCTGTCAAAATCTTTCCTACAGAATGCTAGCCCATGAGGGGTTGGGGCCCAACATGCAGTGTTTCATCTTGATCTGAGTAAGCTGCCTTCTTTGATTATGATGAAGGATTACATTTATGGGTCATTCAGTCCCTTTTGACTGTGTCTTATTAATAAAGACTAGAGCAGATGCAATGTGTATATTATGCATCAGGCTCATGGCAAGTTACTAATGCAGCCGTTGAGTCATGTTCTTAACTGCTGTAAGTGGGCACAGCTTAAAGTCTGAAACTATGCCAGTTTTCAGCAACTGAGGGTTTAGCCCCTTATTTGAGTGTCTGTGATATAACAAAGCTCAATTCTTAGTACATCCTGGGTAGCTTCACCTCAAGTAATGTGCAGGGACTGTTTGGTGTCATGTGAAATGAGGAGAGTTTCTCCCTTTAACGGGAAGGAGATGCATAAAGGTCCATCATTCAAATTTACAGATGACACCAAATTAGGAGGGGATTGAAAGCACTATTGATTTTAGAGAGAAATTACTGAATGATCAAGAGAGTTTAAAGAAAAAATGGAGAAATGGGTTGAAATATCATTTAGATAATGCAGAGTAATGCCCTAAGGGAATACTAGTACAAGTCATAAGTTCAAAATGGGATGTGGTTAGTCAGAGAGCAGTGATGCAGAAAGGATCCAGAAGTTTATCAATGTGCAGCAAATTAAACATGAGCTCACAGTGTGATCCTGTTCCAAAAAAAAGCAGAAGTTATACTGGAATGTGTATATGGAGGATCATGTGAGAGCCATGGTAAGGCCACTCTTGGAGCACTATGTACAATTTAGAGCTCATCATTGTAAGAAAATGACAGAGGGAATCTAAACATGGTTGAATAAAATGATGAAAAAATTGTGCATAAAATGAGATTAAGGGAAGTTAACATATACATTTTAGAACAGGGAATATTACTGGCTGCCTGTAAATATTTTCAAAGTTATAACACAATAATAAAGGAATGCTTTAATATGATTAAATGTCAGGAGGAATAAGAGCCTGAAGCTAAGGCATAAATTTAAATTATATATTGATGAAAAAATATCTGAGTGAAGACAATTAAGCCATAGGATAATTTGACAAGGGAGGCCACCTCACAAGAGATGTTTAAGAAGAGACTAAATAAAGCACACACTGGTTTAGTATAGAGATAACCTATAATCCTTTTAGAAACAATCTTGCTTTGTATCCTATTTTTACTTGTTTCTTGACTAATTCTTTAGCAAAAAGAGGATGTAGGAAAAGAATGTTTTGCTTCTTCAGGGTGCATCTTCTGCTGTTTGTATTCATCTGAAGTCATTATTTTTTTTGGTGACATAATCATTTTCCAAAACAACCTGCTGCTCCATGTTGTCATAAAGAATTATTACATCAGGTAGAGGTAATAAGTGTCAGACGGCAGACATGCACACTTAAAATATTCCTTAGCCATACAGATTTCCTTAGTAATAGAATGCAGGGCCGGCTCTAGCTTTTTTGCCGCCCCAAGCAGCAAAAAAAAGCGCCGCCCCCGAGCCCCCCCGCCGAGCGCCGTCCCCCCCCAGCCGAGAGTCGCGCGCCCCCCCCCCCGCCGAGCGCCACCGGAACCCCCCCCTGCGCCGCCCCCCCGCCGAGCGCCGCGCACTGGAGCCAGCCCCCCCTGCGCCAAGCACTGCCGGACCCCCAGCGCCGAGCCCCGCGCCGCCGGAGCCCACCCCCACCCCCTGCC